ATCTTTATGAAGACAGAGTTGAATTTTTCTTGTCTCTATCACACTCATTGAGATTTCCACTTAGATTTTTAGCGATATGAAGAGGCGTGAATATGAATGGGGCATTGTCAATGTTTCAGTGGGTAGAGTACTTATGAAACAAACATGAAGACCTGAGTTCAAATCTATAAAACCAGAGCACAGCCACACAAGGTAGTGTGGTGTGGTGATCCCTGTGCTCCTCTGATAAGATGGGAACCTGAATGTTCAGCTATGGATGAGGCACCTTGTCTCAAACAGATAAAAGATAATCTCAGCATCCAAGCTTATCCTCTGAATATCTTCAAATGTGCACCATGGCTCACTCTCACCTCAAAGTACACATGTGCACACACATATACGTACAAATCATATGAGCACATCTAATAATTACACATAGTCATATTATTATGCACATATTATACTTATATCATACACATATCATACATATAATATGCATACCTTATACAATATCGTGCATATACTAGTCACACAAATCATATGCATAACATATATATAAATCATCAGATATACTATATACAAACATAAAAAATAATCTACTTTTTCAAGAAAATGTATTTTGTGATATATTGTAAAAAGTGATTAGATATAAAATAACGGAAAACATGAATGATATTCAAGGACACTGACAAACAACAGAAATAAGGATTTTATTAGCCACAGGTTTTACAAGGTATTTTATAAAGTAGTGTGGATGATTTTATTAGATCTTTCAGAAATTATAAAGAAAAACCAATGTTATTTTCTTTTTTTGAGATACAACAAACAAGAGAGAGACAAAAGTACACTCGTAGTGGTTCAAATATTGGTTTCTTTGCTCTAGAACACTAAAATTAATCAGAAAATTGTTTCATGTCTGTGATTTTAAAACCTTCCAATTTGTCGATGTTATTTAGTAGTATTTACATGTTTTCTGTTGTAGAAAGAAATAACTGAAATCAGGTGACATCTAAGAGAACCAAAAAATAAGTTTACTATCTCTTTTCAAAATTCCATTCTTACTTTCTTTGCCTAGACTATTTCAAGAAAATCAGTGTTTAAATTGGTTATTTTCTATTGTTGTGAGAAAACATCTTGAACAAGGCAACCTACAGAAGAAAAAGTTTATTTGGGCCTATGTTTCCAAAAGGATAAGTGTTCCTCATGGCAGGGAATCATGGCAGCAAATACCAGCTATGGTGGCAATAATAACTGAGAGACCGCATCTTGCTGCAAGCAAGAAGCAGAGAGCACTCTGGGAATGGCACATGACTTTGAAATGTCAAATCCCTCCCCAATGACACACTTCCCCCAGAAAGGCTATGCGTGCTAATCCTGCCAGAAACAACTCCATCAACTAGGGACCGAAACAACTACCGGGATGTCTCTTTCAAACCGCCATAGTCTATTTCTTGCCTTGGTTCTTTTCAGCTCATTTCACCCTACTTTTCCCTCAACCTCATGGAATCCCAGTGTTACTATTCCTGTTTTCATTATAATAAAAGATAAAATGTCAGGATGATTTCATGAACCTGGAAGCTGAGTAAAATTCCAAGATGCAGTTGAGTATAACAATCCATTTAAGCAAAAAGTTGGAGCTTTCAGGAGGCATGTATCATCTTCAAATAAAGAACTTCCAAAAAAGTAAGACAGACCCAAAATGGTTTTGAAAATGCCATGGGTTCCCAGATGAACTGGAAAATACTTGATTGAGAAGTGGAGGGTTGACATAGATGACCATGGGATTAAGTAGACAAGCGTGTGTGGTTTCTTATAAAGTGAGTGAGTGCCAGTCACTGAAATTGTGTTCTATCAGAGCAGCTGCTTGCATCACATTTCTCTGTTAGAGCACTAGAGCATCTGTGCCATTTAACCCTGACAGCATTTTAAACCAAACTGTGAGGATAATCATGAATCTGCCCACACGTACTCTTTGGGGGAAGAGTGAAATTGGAACACAAAATTCTATGGAAGAAGAGACGTGACATTAGTGTATTCTTGTTGTTAGAGAAACACTAAGCATTTCAGCAGACTGACAGAACCAAAACTGTAACATGCATTCTCCCCGCCAGCCTAGTCTCAGAGCTGCGTCAGTCCCAAATGAACACACAGGACACTATATTAATTATGAAGCTGTTGACCGTTTGCTATGATTTCTTGTTGGTTAGCTTAGTTAGCTCTGACTTAAGTATTAACCCATAACTACTAATCTGAGTATTTTCACATGGTCTTTTCTTACAGGAGAAAGGGTCCAGACCTCTTACTTCTGTCGCATCCTACATAGAGATTCCCTGTGCCTCCGCTTCCCAGAATCCTCCACCTCTCTTAGTCCCACCTATCTCGCTTACCTATTGGCCAGCAGTGCTTTATTTATCAACCAGTAAGACAAACATACATACAGAAGGACTTCCCCCATTACAAAACCTTGATGGAGAACTGTTTTTCTGTAGCAGTAGATTAAAGCCAGAAGTTGGCTGCTTTTATTTGATGTGCATGAATTTACATAATTGCAGATTCTTTGGTGATTTACAAAGTCCATGTGTATTTTTAGTATAGTATGACTAAAGGTAATGCTAAGACCTAAGAGTGAGTCATGTCTCTGTGCATCTTAGAAGACACAAGGAAAGCTGTATGAGTAGATATAATTGAAATGCCATTATTGATAGGTAAAGCACAGAAACTGCTGGAGTTGGTGAGCAGAGAGACTAAATCTTAGACCTATTGTATTCAGGTCATTTACTTATCCTTTCTCCTCCAGAACAGGCAGCAGCTACTTAAACCAACCTGCTTGGCCATCCTGCCCATAGAAGATGGACTTGTTAAGATTAGAAACTGCAATTCCAAGTCAAACATAGGCTATATATTTGGCAGTTTCGTCATGTGCATATTGAGCCCCCTAACCATAAGTCTACCCATTGTTTCTAAGAGCTAAGTACAGAGCAACCCTGAACCTCTCATTTTCCATGTTTGAAACCCATGGTTTTCTTGCCATTTTTAATGTTTTCCCTATAAGCATTTTCTGCATTTTCTCAGAAAACCCAAATCAAATTAGTGTAACCAATGAAGTATTATTGCTGCATCATGCTTAATTTCCAGTGTTCTCATAACAGTTTTAAAATTTCCAACATTTATTACCACAAGGGAAGTTTTTAAATTAATTTCACCAAAACTCCCTACATTGTGTCCTACCTGGTAGTTCTACCAGGCACAAATGGCTTCCTAAAGTGGTCACATGCATTCACTCAACTTATTGCGCTGTTTGGGGAGTAGAAAGAAACACATCATTGGTATGGTATGATTGAGTCCCTAGTTTATAGAGATGTTAGGTGATAAAGGTGAGTCTATATAGTAAGACATCATGAAATTCTTTGTATACATATCTTCCCTAGGAATGATGATGGCCCTGTCCCTGACCACAGTCATGTCAGATCCTGTGAAGGAACTTTTGACTGGCTATTTGTTTACTGGTGTGATACAGATTTTTTAATGTAACAAAAGGCAAACTTGTTCCTCAAATTTCTGCCTGTAGTAATGCAATCCCTTTATCTCACCGGCAGAAGAAAGTTCATTGACATGTCCGACATCAGGAGGAGGGGAAGTAAATGCCTCTTCCAGAGAGAGCAGGAGAATATGGTGACCAGTAATTCAATCAACCCTGTGATATCAAAACATTGAGCCGAAATCACTAAGATGCATGATACCATAGTTTGGAAGATAAGTTTTCCAGGGACATTGCTACACTCATACTTTTCTATATTATCTATGGCCGATTTTGCTCTACAGGGCTGAGGTGAGCAAGTGCAGCAAAGACATAACCCACAGTCCATAAAATGATCCTTATTTCTGTAGTGTTGAGAAATTGAACCTAGGGCTTCATGCTAGCTTAGAAACCTGTCCATAAAGTGATCTGTTAAGGAAATAGTCTCCTACCATGACTAGAAGTATACATATATATATATATACATATATATATATATGATTTAAATTAGAAACAAGCTTGCTTCACATGTCAATCTCAGCTCTTTCTCCCTCCCCTCTTCCTCTGTGCCCCTAGGATCCCCTATTCCCTACTCCATTCCTTCCCCAGGAAGGGTGAGGCTCTCCATGGGGGATCTCCAGAGTCTGTCATTTCCTTCAGGGCAGGGCCTAGGCCCTCTCCCAAGGCTGAGAGAACATCCCTAATTGTGGGATGGGCACTCAAAGTCCATTTGTATGCCAGGAATAAATACTGATCTACTACCCAAAGCCCCCTAGGTTGCTTAGACCTCCTCATTGACACCCATTTTCAGGAGGTATGGATCAGTCCCATTCTGGCCTCTCAGCCATCAGTCTGGGGTCCAAGATCTCCCCCTTGTTCAGGTCAGCTGTTCCTCTGGGTTTTACCAGTCCAGTCTTGACCCCTTTGCTCATCACTCTTCCCTCTCTGTCACTGGGTCCTAGGAGTTGAGTTCAGTGTTTAGCTGTGGGTGTCTGCCTCTGCTTCCATCAGTCACTAGATGAAGGTTCTAGGATGGCATATAAGGTAGTATCTAACTCATTATCAGGGAGGGGCATTTAAGGTAGTTTCTTCACTATTGATTAGTTTGCCAGCTGGTGTCATCCTTGCAGATCTCTGGATAGCTCACTAGTGTCAGATCTCTCCTGAAACCTAAAATGACTCCCTCTATTATAGTATGTCTCTTCTGGCTCTCCTCTATTCTTCCCCGACTTAACCTTCCTGCTCCCCCATGTCCTCCTCTCCCCTCCTCTTCTCCCCCTCTCTTTTTCCTGGCTCCCTCTCCCCTCCCACCATGCTCCCAATCTACTCAGGAGATCTTGCCACATTCCACCTTCTTTGGGTTGCCATGCATATCTCCCTTAGGGTACTTCCTGTTTCCCAGTCTCTCTGGCAGTGGTGTTGTAGGCTGACATTCCCCTGATCCATGAGATGGCTCAACCTTTAAAGGCTAGGCTCACAATCCAAAATGTAATATACATTAGAATAGTGTTTAATCATGAAATACCTTTATTTTTAGCTATTTATCAACAACAGTACTTGTTTTCTTTTTATGCAGAGTGTGTTATGATAAAATACATGATTTTGAAAAAATATTATCTTCTGGTGGGGAACAATCTTCTGGTAACTTCAAGATCCCATCCAGAATCTTTAAGTTTGGCAAACAGAAGAACACTCTAAAACAAAACAAAATGGAAGTTCAGTAAGTATATTGAACAAAGAATTTTATTTCACGTACTTTTTATGAATAAATGCATTTAGCTTATTCAAATAAGAAAGGAGCATTGCGCTCACTTTATTCTGCTCTACTTATCTTTGCAGAGGAGTTAAAATAATCCACTACTCATATCCCTTGAGCTAATATCCTGGGCATACTTCTATCTCTCCTGGTTATACCAGATCTTTCAGAAGATGTAAATATTGATCAGAGAAGTGAGACAGCATACAGTCTGTTTTTACAAGAGAACCCCATTCCCATTCCAGTTTTCATAAAGTCCTCTAAGGAAAAAAAATTCAGTGAGCAGATTCATACTGTAAGGGAGAGAATGAGACTGTGACAGTAAATATGCCTGTTACAAAGTTAAAAGTTGAGGGAGGGATTTAGGGAAGGCAGTGTTACTTAGTGAGAGCTGAGGGGTGTAAAAGAGGGATAAGAAATATGTTCTGTAAGCTCTTTCGTTTTGACAGACAATGCTTCTGAGGGTCAAATTTCAAATTTAGGAAGTCAATGACAGGGTTAGAAGAGATCCTTCTGATCAGTACATTTAAGCAGGGATCATATGCAGAGAACAGTTAGAAGGCAGCGTCCTCCCTCAAGTGGACAGCTGTCCTATATTTGGGATCTCTTAGACTTCAAGCAAATGCAATCTATGGCCCTCAGAATGAAAATGAAAGAACTTACAGCTGTCATCAGATGTGCTGGGTCATCCAATGGCGCCACTGACCTGCTTAAGACTTCTTGTTGTTCCTGCTTTTCTTAGAGTGACAATCTGTTCTGTGTGTTATTTCATTCAGTCCTCACAGAAGCTCTATCAAGCTGAGTCTGACTCCCTATTTTAGGTATTTTATTCAATATCTCAATCTTGGCCAGAGAAAAAACCTAAAATCCAAATCCGCTGGGGCCAATATTTAGACTTAGATCATGAGATTCCCTCACCACTGAAACATTTAAAACACAAGAGATGAAAACAAAATCAATATTTTGATTTCTGAAAAATGGTAGATAATTTAGTTTGTGTTAAGTTAGTATGTCCTGGAAGTGGTGTTCCCTGCCATCCTGGACATATACTATAAGCTCTCTCACTGTGTTTTTTTTCTCTTTAGAATCAGGCTATCTTCTGACTGTGTGATCTGAACACAGGAGGAAAAAGGAAAAAGTACCATATCCAGGTGACAGTAACCCAAAGAAGCTACATCTAAAATAATTTTGAGCATGGTCTCAAGGATCTTGAGTCTGACCCAAATCTTGGATATGAACACCTACTGACAAAATAAATGTGGCTATCATCTTCAAAGTGAACTCAAATTTAGATGAACTCTGAACTTCATTTTAGCTTCTCAGAATGAGTGGAAGCTTAAATCATCTCTTCATATCTTAAAATTGCCTCATCTTTCTCTTCAAAGTAACCCTGAAGTGCCTCAAGTCAACATAACCTGCTTTTTGTAGCTTAAAAGGCAGTATGCATCCAGTTTGGACCAAGTCTAATGGAGTTAATAGTGGAAAAACAGGAGGGACCTATTCTCATAATTGTATACCACATTATAAATTCTGAAGACAATTATAGGGAAACATCATGCTGTACCAGATTTCATACAATTCTAATGTTGCTACTCTAAGGTGATTTTTGAGTTGGCACCAAAACACTTGATAAAATGCCACATGTTAACAAAACTGAAATATCATACTGTTAAATTATACTTATGACTGGGAATGTGCCTTCTTGTAAATGATGTTGAAATGTCCAGCTAAACCTCTTCTGAATATAGGAAATATAATTTTAAGCTTCAAAACGTTATTATGATTAAATATTAGCTCAATATTAAAGTCACTATAACACCAGTTTCCACTGCTTTGTAAAAGCAATTTGAGAATTTATGATCACCAACATGAAATTTTGCTTTCCAACCATAGTCATAGGGGAGACAACTGCCATAATGAGATTTATGTATTAACAACGTAGATTAGAATTCATATTTTGACAATTTTTCACTGTACACCAGGAGTTGAGCAGTTTAACATTACATAAAGCTCTTTTACTATTATGGGAAAACTAGCAACTTGAGAAGAAAAAACAAGGAGAACTACATCTGTTATTGAACCTGGATGTCTGTTAAGGTCTTCCATCATAGAATGAATTTCTGTCCCCTGAGATGATTCGACCCTTAGTAGAACAAAATTAGCTGAGAGATAAGATGATCTCTGTTCATATGGGATCAAGTATGAGATTAGAATTCAGTTACTTGCTCTTATTTTTCAATTCTCTCAAGAATACCAGCTGTACCCAAAGATCATTCATAAACCATGATAAATGCTGATCTACTACCCAAGGTCCCAGTGATTTCTGTGGCCTCCTCACTGAGACTACATTCATGGAGTCTGGATCAGTCCCCTGTTAGCCTCTCAGCCATCAGTCTGGGGTTCAAGAGCTCCCCCTTGTCCAGTCAGTTGTCTTTGTGGGTTCCACCAGCACGGTCTTGACCCCTTTGCTCATTACTCCTCCATCTCTGTCACTGGGTTCCAGGAATTCAGTTCATTGTTTAGCTGTGGGTATCTGTCTCTGCTTCCATCAGTCACTGGATGAAGGTTTCAGGGTGGCATATAAGGTAGTCATCAACCTTACCATCAAGGAGGGACAATTAATGTAGTCTCTCTACTATTACTTAGTTTGCCATTTGGTGTTATCCTTGCAGATCTCTGGAGATCTCAGTAGTGTCAGCTCTCTCCTCAAACCTATAATTACTCCATCTATTATGGTATCTCTCATCCTGCTCTCCTCTATTCTTACCTCGACTCAACCTTGCTGCTCCCCCATGCCTTCTTCTCCCCTCCTCTTATCCCCCTCTCTTTTTCCTGGCTCCCTCTATCCTCCCCTGATGTTCCCAATCTGCTCAAGAGATCTTGCCTCATTCAACTTCTCTGGGGTATCATGCATCTCTCTTGGGAACCTCCCTGTTTTCCAGACTCATTGGTACTGGGATTTTAGGCTGAGACTCCCCTGATCCATGTCTAAAATCCATATATGAGTGAGTACATACCATGTTTGTCTTTTTGCATTTGGGTTACCTCACTCAGGATGGTTTCCTCTAGTGCCATCCATTTGCCTGCAAGTTTCAAGATTCCATTGTTTTTTTCCACTGAGTAAAATCCTAATAATTTTTAAAAGACCAATATTTGTTTTATTTCATTATTTGATCCTTTATTTTCTATATAGAATAAAATAAAAAATCTTGTGTGTGTGTGTGTGTGTGTGTTATAAAAATAGAAACGAGGCTGTGTGGGAAAGGAAGGTCAATGCAGAGTAGGGAAATAAAATGGAAATATCATGGGGAGGAGGCATGAGGTAAACATTGCCAAAGAACACAATATGATTTTATGAAAAACCTGTATGAAATACATTGTTATATAAATGAATATATGTCGATATATTAAATTTTTGCTATGCTAAGGGCCTGTCATCAGTGCTACCATAATAAAGTAATTTTTAAGACAGAAAACACATGCATATTAGTTCATTGCTTTTGATATTTTAGAATCCTGAAGGGTTCAATACAGAACAATTACGATAAGTATTTTTGGACATGGAGAGATGTCTATGTTCCTAGCACCCCACGTGGTGGCTTGCACAGTCAGTATCTCCAGTTCCAGGGTATCTGGCATCCTATCTGGTCTCCACAGGCAGTTACATGCAGGTGGCATATATACATGAACTCAGGAACACACATAAATACATAATAGAAATAAACAAACCTTAGGTACATGAGTGTTAACAAGAGAAAAACAACACGCAATACAGTACACTACTCAACAAAAGGTAACCTAGGCATTTGAGCCTTACTGTTTCCTGTAGTTTTGATGAAATTCACAGGGGTTCCTCTTCAGGGTGAGGGACTCCAGTGGTGTGTTCCGTAAACTGGAGAGGCCAGCCAGTGTCTCAATGTGGTTTTCAGCCAATGATAATTGCTGTATTTGGGGTATCTTTGGTAGTTGCTTGAACGATGTGACACAGTTTTTGCTCATATTTAAAACTCTGCAGCTGGAGACAATATGAAAATCTACTCATTTGCTTTCTAAAGTGGGTAGTAAACTGTTAAATCTCACACCACCTCTCAGTCCTGCTAGGACTCTGGCCACACCAGAGAGTGACAGTGAGAAGAACTGCAAAGGAATTTAAATTGTCAAGAGCTGTGTTCACCACGGGAGTAAACTGGATGAGTAGATCATAAGCCTGGTACACACAGGCGTCTCTTCCCATGTGTTCAGCGGGCGTTGACTTCCCCATTCATCTCGACAGGGTGACTAGTTCCATACCACTTCCTTAGCATAAAAGTACACACAAAGTAAGGCAACTTTGGAAGAATGCTGCCTCCAAGAAAGGAAGCAGCTGTTCCTCCTGATTTTGTGTACTTACGAAATTCTATAATGAGAAAATGGCATTTTAAATCAGAAGTAACCTTTGTTTTATATAAAAAAGAAATCTACAGAGTACCCTTAAGAGAATAAAAGCATATTAGGCACTTAAGCTTAATACATTTTCTGAACTATAATGCTTTTCAATATTTTTGCCTTAAAATCATAATTGTATGAGAGCATGATAATGGAAGAAGTAATTCAAAATCCATCTCTAGCACACTGCCTTAACACATGAATAAATGTGTATTCAAGACTCCAACTCAAAATTTTCCAGTTCAGTGTTCTAAATATGCTCTGCACCTATGTGACCACAAAACTGCCTTTGGTGCATGTTTATTTCTGTAAGTATTGGCAAGATACAACTGATACAGTCCTCCTACCTTAACCTGCCAAGTTTAATAAATAAGTTGGTGCCAAGTGGTACGGAAATTGTGTGTGTGTTAGTAATAAAGTTTCTTTTGAATTTTTGTGTTCTTTTAAACTCATTTTTTAAAAAATTAACAGCAGTACAGTAAGTCCATTTAAAAGTCCGTTAAGCAGTCTGAGGTTTCACACAGATTCTGAAAATAACTGAAGGTGGTGATGGATACATGGACACTTTGTATATGCTGATGTATTTTACATCTCCCTAGCTGTTTCTTCTCTCCTGTACAGTGATGCTGATATGTTTCTGTGGTGTTGTCAGCCCAGCATCAGAGACACATCTTAATTACTCTGGGATTCACTTTCCTCGTGTGTGGAGTCTCGGCTTCCTTCTTCTCTGTTCTCCCTCGATTCCTACTAATTTGATAGACACCATAACAAAAGCATTTTTAGGAGGAAAAGGGTTCATTTAGGTTACAGGTTACAGTCCATCACCAGGGAAAACCAAGGCAAGAACTTGCAGCAGAACTCATGGAAAAATGATGTTTTCTGGATTGCTCTCAGGTTTATATTCAGCTAGTTTTCTTATGCAGCCCAGGATACCCTGCCTAGAGATGGTATTGCTCATAGTAGGCTGGGCCCTTACACAGCAATCAGTAATCAAGAATATGCCCCAGACAGTCATGCCAAAAGACCAATGTGATAGAGGCAATTATTTCATGAATTTTCTAGGTTTGTCAAGGTGACAACAGAAATATCCATGACAATCTTCTAATGGACTCCTGAAGACTTCATGTGTCTCTTATGGCTTTCAGTGCTTCTCTCACCTACCCGTTCTGCCTGATGAAGCTGACTGCAGCTCTCTGGAAAGAGCGTTCTTACACAGCCCTGACTGAAGACACAGAGTGGCTTGTACAACAGGAATTTGGAGTCTTTTGAGTGACGAAGGATTCCATGAGAATTTTTTCTTATAAAATACCTTATTTAATCTCTTATTTGCTTTTGTCCTTAGGATACCAACATTAACATCTATATTACACAACCTGGAAAATAATTCTTTTGTTAACTACTTTGCAGAGTTTCTTCACAGAGGTGCTCAATAAATGTGAATCACTACAAATTACTTACAACCATAATGTATATGTAATGAAATTGTATTTTCCAGTTCACAACAAAAGGAAAGTGACAATATTTTCTGCTCACCATGTCCATGATTCCAATTTCTGTGGTAAAAATTGGCAAAAAACCCATGAAAGTGTCTATTTGGATGATATTTTGATATAAAACATTTTGTTGTTGTTGTTGTTGCCTGGCTGTATATGCGCCTTAGCATAAATGATCAGTTCTAAGATGTGACCTCAGAAATTGAGGTGTATTCTATGTATACATATGTGTCACATATGTCCAAGAATCAAATTATGAATGATCGCTCATACCTTGGCAGTCTTATGGTATGTAGATCTACCAGTGAATTATCCACCAACCACAGGATTTCGACTCGAATCAGTCTTCTAAGAATCCTTTTAAAATTTTCAACTTGATAAGGGTCCCCCAAATCCTGAAATGAAATGTTCAGTTTCTGAAGGAAAAACAAAAGTAGTAAGTTGTCGATTTTAATGTACTTAGTGCTCAACATGTGATAATGAATTTTTCATTAAACCATTATTAAATCATCTCTCTTTTCATTTTCATCTCTCCCAAACAGCCACAATTATCTTGTCTGTGTTCTTTGAGGAAGCTGAGACATGATGAGAATTGTTGAGTGAAATAAGGTTACATGGAAATTAGAGAAGGGTAGGATCCTCAAGAAAATTCTGAAATTTTATTGGAGTACTGATTATAGTTGGTAAAAGTCTAATGAAGAATGACCGGTCCAAATGATCAATCCATCAGCCTCACTTGTACACAATCAGAAATCATACTTATAAAAAATCTAGAGAAAAACATCCCTTTTCAAAAGGATAAAGTTTTGGTTTGTGATTAAACCAACTACAAGCACATATTCATAAATGACTTTATTGCAAGCACAGTAATTTAATATTTACTTTTAATATCAGCCAAATTTTAGGTATAGGAAGCCAGTACTATCCCTGAGTTCCATTCATAAAAGACAGTGCAGCATATTAAACTAGGTCTCACCACTGACTGCTGCCAATAAAAGCTGTTGAGTAGAATAGTAACCCATTAAAGTGTTGAGTCAAAATACTTTGCTTTATTTAAAGAACTACAGGCATTAAAGAATGTACTTTAGAAAGGTTCATGTCTGAGGCTGGGGAGGTCTCTCAGTGAATAAAATGCCTACCACTCCATAGTGAGGATCTAAATTTGAACATCCAGAACCCATTTAAAAAGTGGGTGTGATAGCCAGCATCTGTGATCCTACTTTTATCATGACATGGGAGGAGAAGAGAAAGGAACCCCCAAAGCTCAGAGGCCGGCTAGCCTGGAATACGTAGAATGGTCATCAAACATATATATCCCTATCCCAAAGAGGAAGAAAGACAATGACTGACAGCTAAGCTCTGACCACCATATGTACTACATGGTGTGAACATCCACAAAAATATGCACAAGCACACACACACACACACACACACACACACACACACACGCCCGCGTGGGCAGATTAAGGAAGTCCATAAATGTCCAAATAAAAGAATAACAGATATTTATTTGTGGACACTCACACAATGAAGGTAAATACCCCCCATGTCTTCTGCCCCTGGAGACGCAGGGTGCTGTGCTGCAGGATGTTCAGACCACCACCCAAGAGCGAGAGCAAGACCCCTCCTCTTCCTTATAAGGCATCATGTCCGCACACTTAAGACTCCCGTAACTATTGGCAGAAACAAATTCTTACTACATATGAAAATATCATATACACATGAAAAGAAGGTCAAATAAAATAAAATTGAAGTCTTGATATTCTAGGCATTAAACATTACAAAGTTTCAGACTTAAAGCTCTATTTTATATAAGAACAAAAGACTCTTACCTAAAAATAAAACATACGGAATGAGGAAGATCATACCCATATCGTACACATTGATGTCACTGATCAGTTTTCTTATTTACTGTTATTTTGTGGTTAAGTCTTGCATGGTAGTTTAGAGTTTATTAAGACAAGTTTTTATAACCCAAAGGTTGATTATAATTTTTAACTTTTTAAAAAGATTTATCCTTTGTGTCTTTCACATCATGTAGCTGGATAGCATCTATCTCCTGTCCCCTCTCACTGCCCTCTGACCCTGCAATCCCCACAGCCAAATAAATCAAAATAAAATTTAAGATAAAAAAGGAAAACCTCGTCATGAAAGTTGCAGTGTGACAGTGAGTCAGTGGGCAAATCCTCTTATCCATAATCTTTGCATGTCGGTGTTCATCACAAAGAATCATTTGTTTGGTTCAAGACCCCTGGTCTCTGATAAACTATCTACAGTGGGCCCTCACTGGGCCCCTTCGGGGACATCCTGCCGCTGCCCTGTGTAGGGGAGATCTTGTAGTTCTGGGTCCACAGGACCTGCGCCCCCCCCAACCTGTGCTCCAACAGATCACAGACAGAGTGGACACTGGGGTGGGCAACACTTGACCTCGGTTCTGTGCCTAGGGAGTGGCAGGGTTGGTCAGCCTACCAGCTCTCCCTGTCCTCACCACCAGGGTGAGCTCTCCAGCATTGCCCTGGCTAAAGTTTACCCTTTGCAGAGATCAGCAGGGCAGGGCTAGTTCCCCCACTTTCATATTCTCGGGGTAGGCTCCCCACACTGCCATCTTCAGGGCCAGCTCTATTGTGTTGCACAGTTGAGGTGTAGCAGCCACTCTCCCGAGTGCTGCAGATGGTGAGAGGCAGAGACAGCTCTCCCACTCTCATGACTTCAGGACCAGCTCTCCCACTTAAGGCAGTTGGGGAAGGGATCTCTCGCCTGCCCAAGGTGCCACATGACATATGAGTACTGGGGACAGCTCTCCCACATCCCTCAGGGGATGATGGGCAGGTGGGAGTTAATATATTTTTATGATCATTGATTAACCAGTTTCATCGACCTTGATGTTAGTCCATGCCTTAAATTACAGCTGTAAAGAATGACTATACCAAAATAATCACCATGAAAGCGAAGGCTGGGCAGAACTGGAAGTCAGAGTCCTGGGTGCACTGTTTATCTTTTTGAAATAAATGAGTGGGCACGCTGCTAAATTTGAAAGGTAGTATGCATCCATTTATTTTATAGGAATGATTTTAAATTAATTTTAAAGAAATCATCATATTGTAAGCATAATGTTCTTTTCATCTTCCACGAGTAATCTCAGAAACCTTGGTACTTTACTGAACTTCTTCTGAAAAAGGAATTTAAAACAGACCCTCTGTGAAATTCTTTCCCATGTAGGTCTCTGACATACAAAGTCAGCTTGTGAAGTCAAGGAAGAATCAGGGGACCCCAACACGAAGCTTCTGAACTCACATTCACTGCTAGGAGATGTCCTAAAATTATCAAGTGTTATTTGATCATTTCCACTGAGTTGAAAGCAAGATGCTTTTCTCTTTCACTGATATCAATGCTACAGACCATTGCCAAATAAATATGCAATCTTTTGCTTACAGGCGATTTTTAAGGGGACTAAATTTGAAGTCAAGTGGTCAAAGCCACAGTCTCCTACGGAGTGAACATGGTGACTAATCAAAGGGCTATTTCTTTACCATCAACTCAGTCAGAGGAGCCTCACCATGTGAAATCACAGCTCCTACAGCTCCATGCAGATAACTGAGAAATTCTAGACTGCGTCACAAACTTATTGATCCAAATTACACTAAATTTGACAGTCTGACAAATCCCTTCATTTGTCTTTCATGTGTGTGGATGTTTTGCATGTATGTAGTGATACAGTCACCACAGAGGAAAAGAGGCCATTGGATCTTCTAGGCCTAGAGTTACAGACAATGTGAGCTACAGTGTGGGGGCTGGGAACTGAACTTGGGACCTCTGGAAGAGCAGCCACTAATATAACCAATCTTGATATAATCTGTGTAGGGGAGTAGGCAGTCATTACTGATTTTCTCTCTTAACCACGGAACCATCTTTCTCCTTCCATAAATTCAACTTTTTTTTAAACAAAGGGAACAACTTCATTTTCCATTATTTTCTGCTTTCCCAATGTTTGTCAATACAAACACACAGGTAGAGAATACACCGCATAGTCAGGATGAAGAAAAAGTGGGAGGAAAGATGGGAGAGATGAAGGAAACATGGGTGTTTAGATGAAGATCTGGAGTTGCTGGCAATTTCCCCTTAAGAAAGACACACTCATATGACGTTCTCACAATAGTTTTAAATGAGTGCTGCTGTAATTGATCAATGGGGGAGTGTGGGCTTTACCGGAGCTCACCTTGCAATCTTCCCAGTTTTCCTGCAACCACATTTCCCATTTGTTTTTCTCAAGCACTCTTTTCTTTGGAGCCAAGGTGCATCCCACTTGTCTGGAGAGTAAGCATTCTTCAGAGGGTCCTAAACCAAAATCGCAATGTGAAACCTCAGAAGAAGCTAGGAGACCGCGATTGCTACTTTTGCTTGATTGTATTTTTTGTCACTCTCTATCTGGATGGGAAAGAACATGGTTTATTTAAAAGTTCGTATTAAAGAGCTAGTTCCAGGACAGTCTCCAAAACAATACAGAGAAACCCTGTCTCGAAAAACCAAACAAAAAAATCATATTATTCCCATCTGATATGGGCTCTAACCCATTACCATGCCTAATCCAGGTAGAAGGGAGCTTGGTCACTTGACCGTATAATTTAATTTCTCTGCATTTTTCTCTAAATATCACCAGAAATGTTTTTCTTAAAATTTGTCGGGTGGGCTTCCTCTTGTATCTTGGCAAGTGCAGCCCAGCCTCTGCATCTCCAGGTTCTCTGACATTGGTTGAAATTATGGATGGAGAACCCATGGTAGACAGTCACTGGGAGGCTGAGCTCCTGATGTGGAAAAAGGGAACCAGATTCATAGATATGACTAGAGCACATATTTGACCCCCTGACTCTGGCCTCCTTGTTCCTTCGTATGCTGAATAAGTCCTGTCTACTAGTTTATTCTCTAAATACTCCCATCACAGGAGGAGTTACACATGAGGAAAAGTAGCAAAAGATTTTATTTCTTTTCATCTATCAATCTTAATTTTCATTAGAACTTACAGAAAAGTGTGTATTGTCACTAAGAGAAAAAGGACAGTTGCAGATTATGTAACTTTACATATATATATATAGACTGTTGGCAATACATGCATATATCAATATATATGTATAACACATATGTAACCAATGTTTCACGTTTCTAAAGATAATTAACAGTAAATTTTTTACCTGTATGAGTTGAATGTGAATCAGTGAGTGGTAGAACAATTAGTTGCTTACATATAGAACAACTTGGGTTTGACTGGCAGTAATCACACACACAGAGACACACCCAGAAACACACACACACACACACACACACACACACACACACACGGATACCCACACACAGAGACACAGAAACACACACAGAAACACAGAAACACACACACAAACACACAGAGACACACACAGATACACACACAGACATAGAAACACACACAGACACACCCAGAAACACACACACACGCACATACAGACACACACAGATGCACACATACAGAGACACAGAAACACACAGAGATACACACACACAGATACAGACACATAGACACACACACACACACACACAAATTCACATTTAGATTCAGTTTAAAATCTGAAATAGCACATTACTAAAGAAAAATGATATTTAAACCATGTATCATCTGTCATTTTATTGGACCACCCTAAATTCTGGGCACAGGTTTTAATGCTGAAATATAATTTAATGTTTTTTCTACAGCTAATAAAAAGTAAAAAGAGTTACTTTAATTAATGGAGGAAAAATCAGATGTAGAATTAAACTTTAGCCCTATGCAAATTATAACTGGCATGATAAAATGAGGCGAGCCACTAGTATATCCAATCTTGATACAATATGTGTAGGGGAGTGTGAAGTCATTACTGATTTTCTCTGTTTGGTCTCTCAATTCAGTGAGTTTTTTTGTCTGATCACTTTTACCATCCCTTGCTTTTCAGTGTCAGGAAGCTCATATATCCCCTTGAACTGCAGGTGCTTTCTCAGGAATCTCCTTGTAAGTTGCCCCCAAGGCTTCCAGCAGCATCTACCATAGAACATGCACATTCGAAACATGACAGGCATGTCTTCCTGCCTGGCCACAAACCCAGTCTTGTCAACAGAGTTTCCCATATATTAATCTAATTTGTGTTTCCAAAGCAATTGTCTACTATTCTCCAATATTCTCCCCCACATATGATTTGTTCACAGTTCTCAAGGTCGGGATAGATTGTTCTACTTCTGATCTTGAGGTAAGTGGAAAGGGGCCCACATGACTCCAGATAACAGATTTTCAAGTACTGGTCTTCATTCGCTGCTTTGCTATCCAAAAATACCAGAAGGGTCAGAAGCAAGGACCCAATTTGAGCTGAGTTTGGAGGGAAAACATACTTGTTTGGTATTCCTAATTATTCATAAGACATTTATTTCTAAAAATAATTGGCCAACATATGCTTTTGTATTTCCACTGCTGCACTGTTTATTGAGTTACCCAAGCAAAGCTAATTCTTCTATCATCCAAGTCCCCTGAAACAACTTGGTGGTGAGCTTCCAAGGCTGCCTCCCAGCTCTAATATATTGTATTTGTATGATCTGTACCTGTGCCCTTTGTATTCATTTCTGTCTGTTTTCTGGAATTCATGGTCTGCTCTTTTAAGATAAAGATAATAGAAAAAGGAACATGGGAGATATCACAAGCCAACATTGGTCTTGTGGCATGTTTATCTAGATGATGATAAGACATAATGATTCCTTTTTGTGAAGAATTTATGAAAGCAATAAGAAAGAACCCAGTGTTTCATTATTCTGACACAAGCATTAGTCTTTCTCACCAGGGGGAGGTATATATAGGTCAAGGTGTCATCTAGCCTATTTCTGTCATAATGAACTGTACCAGGAAATCCTTTGACCCTGAGTGTGGTAGGGTCAATAAATTTGCAAATAAGGTAGCCTCAGCTGGGAGCTGTTTTTCATCAATGAAGATGAATGGAGATAAAATCTATAGTGTTCAAAGCTTTAAAAATTCACCTAATTGACCTTAGATACCTTCAAACAGTGTTGTCTTGAACTCTCTCCAAATTTGGTAATGCTGAATACCCTCTGTGTGCTCACTACCCCAGAGTTCTGAAGCTCTGCCCTGTACTGTTGGTTTGAGTGCTATTGATTTTTCTGGTCTTTTAATTATTTCTCTTTAGAGTAGCTTCCAAAGATTTATTTGATATTGGAGGCCAAAGGTCATTTCCTCTGTGAGAAGTTATATTAAATTGGTGTTTTTCACTCCTACTGGATTAGTAATTGAAGATATATCTTAGCAGCTATATAGCCTGGAGTATCTGAGGTGTTGGCTTTCACGTGCTATCTCTTAGCTCATTCTTTGTCCCCTTGCTGCATATATAGCTAAAAATGACAGTCAAAGAAACACTTTGCTGGGAGATTTTCAAATAGAATAAGTCTATCCTTTGAACAATGGGCTATTTTGCTTTATTTAATTGGAACAGGCTTAGTCACTCTTGATCCAGCAATCAAAGCCTCAGGAAATTTCTGTTTATCTCACACCAGATAACCTTGCTTTCGTTACCAATTCTTTGGGAATGGACAACTGGGACAGGTGAGACAATCTGAAATAGTTTTGATAAATGGTTGAAGGTCTAATCTCAATGGAGGATAATTCTTATCAGCATGCTCTGGAAAGCCTTTGTTTTCCATCTCACAAAACAAATCTAAACCAAATTAAGTGCATTGTAGAAGGGGCATCTATTTTCTCTATAGTTTAAAGTGATGGGACTTTTGTCAGGTGTTTTCCTTCCCCTAGGCAATGCTCTGTTTCTTTTATGACTAGTCACTTAGGAGAGACTGGATGCTGTTAATGATCTAAGGAAGCGAAATGTGCCTTTGTCTCAGAAGAGCAATGCCATCCTCTGCATGAATGGTTACTATTGTGATGGAGTGAGATTGCTTTTGCTGATTGATGATCTCAGCACTTGACCTGGTCCTGTAAATCAGGAAGGAAAGCGTGACTGCTATGCAATGAACATGCTCATGTTCGGTTTCCTGTCAGATGTGTGATTCTTTCCATGCCCTCATGTTTCTCCAGTTCTGCAGTGCTCACCACACCTCAGCCCTCACCTGTGCTCAGAATGCAGCTTCTTTTGCATCACCACGGCTGACAAAATCAAGAAGCACCCAAGCGCGTATATACATATGTGCACACACACACAGACACACAGACACACACAGACACACAGACATACACACACACACACACACACACACACACAGAGAGAGAGAGAGAGAGAGAGAGAGAGAGAGAGAGATGTTCTTCATTTGCTGCCTCACTGTCTATCAAATGTCTCTTCTCAAAACACTCACCGTATCTCACAGCAAGGCCTTCAGATGATCTCCAGCAGAATTTACTGCCATCATTTAACAAGTGCAGGCAGGCTCCAGAAAGCCCAATTCACAGGAACAATATCACATTGTGGTGTAAAAGGCCAAGAAATGTGATTTCTTTTCACAGGATCCAATGAAAAGACCTAGATGACTCCTGTTCATTTCATCCAGCGGCATGGCTCCCTCTCCTATGCAATGGCAAACTTGTTACTCCCTACTTGATCTCTACGTCTTCAGGTCCTTCCCTGTTTTCTAAAATTTCTCAATCCTTCAAAAATTAGTCTAATGTTTCTAAAGGACATACATAATTTATGTATTATAATGCTGCTTATTGGTATTTTTTAATGAGTTAATGCTTAGCTACCTACTAAGTTGATAGCACAAAAGTATGTGAGCATGTTTTGTAGCAGCTTTAAGAAAACAATATTTGAGTCTTCCTTTGTTAACTGAGTTTGAGTAAAAGACGGGTATGATGTGGGTAAAATCGTGCTACTGGCAGAAAGAAATAAACAGGTTAACATCTCTAAAGACACTTTTCCAAAACCAATCATTCAACTATATATTATACAGTGTTAGAGCAATACATCAATAAAGATGAGAAAACATTTGAAGTTTCATAAAGACTAAAGTTTCAGTGAAACAGGAATTGTATAGTATTGTTTCACTGGCTTAAGGAGGAATACACAAAGACATGAGAAATACATAGTCCCCTTTTTCTAATCTACTAAAGTACAAGTGCTGAGAAATTGAGATTCTAGTGTCCAAGAGCAGGAGAAGATGAGTGGTCCTGCCCCAGAAGAGAGACAGAATTAACCTTCTCTCTTTATCCTATCGTGGTCCTCAAGCAATTGGATGGTTCCTACCTGTGCTAGGTAAGGGCAAATCTTTCTTACTCAGTCTGCAATTTCAAATGATAGTTTTTCAACAGCATCCCCACAGGCAAAACCATCTATTTACACATCTCTTAATCCAGATAGGATGACAATTAAATTTATCATCAATAGAGGGTGAATACAAATAAATACAAATAAATAAGGCTTATATATTCACTTTCCTGGGCTAGCACCCCTCAACCATTGAGACCAAGGGGGAACTACAGGTAGAAGGAATAAGGATTCACTCTCACTTCTAGAGCTGGAACAAATCAGAATCCCACATGGCCTGGCCTTTAGACTCTAGGCCTTCCATGAGAATTCTCCCATGAGACCATCAGCTTCCCTGTTTCTGAGGTGTTTAGACTCAATCTCCAACCCACTACCCGCTTTCCTGATTCTTCAAACTTGGTGACATATTTTGGGACTTCACAGTTTCCATAACCATATAAGCCAAATATTATAATCAATATCTTACTATTTATCTATAGACAAAAGAAACTTATTTCTCGGGACAACCCTAGTACATTGAATATTCTCTTCTGTTGATCTTAATGTATATTTACACCAAATTAAAGCAGCATTAGCTAATCAATTGACCCATTACACATACTCATAAAAATAATACATTTCTAAAAAATGATCATTGATTAAATACTCTTAAAATGTACACATGACACAAATGCATGCAAATTTAAAAATGCATGTTTTAAGTGATAGCATGTTAAAGAAAACTGCAAAATACAAATTCTATATATATATATATGTATTTCATATATATCTATGAAAATCTGATTATTTTAGATGATTGGTTACAGGACCCTCTATCTTTTTATTCAGCATTTAGTGCTAAGTATTATTATTTTCATAATGCTTTGAATATGAAGCTACTATATAAACCATCCTTTGTTATTACAAAAGAAGAAAAAAAGTCAATCCATAACGTCTTTCCTCATCCCCAAGGAATACAGGAATATATTTTAATATGCACTATGGGGATTTGAATGAGAATGGGCCTCATAGGTTCATAAGTTTGAAGGCTGGGTCCTCAGGTAGTGAAACTGTTTGAGAAGGACTAGGAGGTGTGGCCTTGTTGGAGGATATGTGTCACTAAGGATGTGCTTTAAAGGTTTATAAGCACACACCAGGTCCTCTTTCTCTCTCTCTCTCTCTCTCTCTCTCTCTCTCTCTCTCTCTCTCTCTCTCTCTCTCTCTCTCTCTCCTGTTTATGGATGAGCAAGCTCTCAATTAAATGCTTTCTTTTATAAGAGTTGCCTCTGTCATGATACCTCTTCATATGAAGAGGACAATAACTAAGACATACATACACATGATAAAATCTACTCAGAACGTGCAAGAAGAATATTCCTTTTTTTACCTTTTCTTATTCTTGGGCAGTGTAGCTGACTTCCTTGAATGTCATGCTGTTCTATGTTGCACCATGTGAGGAATTTGTAAGAATCTGATGGAAGCTTAAATAAGAGAGAACGGTTGCATCATCTGCTGAGTGTATCCATCAGATAATATATTCAGTTTACTTGTATGCATCAAATATTCGGTCCAATTGAACTCCAGATATCCTGTGTTGAAAGTCAACTTAGTGCATTCTACATTATGTATCTTCACATCCTGCGTTCCAACATTTGCAACCTTTTTATAGTTGATGGTCAACAATAGAGTAAATAAACATGCATACACATATTCACATACATATACAAATATACATAAAATCATATATATATACATTTATATGTATAGAAGCATTAAGTCTACTCTAAACAAGGCTAACACCCTGTGATATCTGTTTAATTGATTATAGAATAGTACTAACTGGTAAAATTGCTTCATTAAATGGACCCTCCTCATTACATAACTCCTCTCAACTAGTCCATGTGTGCCAGGCCTGCCCTTGTGAAGTTACATTAAAAAAAACCTCTCTGTCTGTGGTTACTGTACTAAATGTGTGATGGCATTGATCATCTTCCTAAGAAATTCAATTCGAACACACAGATTTTGGTTTATAAACTATTAAGCATCCTGGTAGCTTCTCTTGTGAAGAACTGTTTATTGACACCAACTTTGAAATATGTAGCTGTTATTGACGAAATCTTTCAGATAGGTCATCTTCTTTTCTGAGGTAAACCATATCTGTGGCAGTCTTGCAGAGTGCTTCCTGTTGTTCTAGAAGACCTGGGTCCAATTTCTAGGATGCTACTTGTTTCACAACTGCTTATAATTCTGGTTCCAGGGGATTACAGTGCCTCTGGCTTTCATCAACGATCTGTGGCAAAGATTGTCACCAACCAGAATTCCCAGTATTTCTATCTCTGTTGATGTTTCTGAGGTTAACATAAACTAATACAATTTATATTACTGGGAAAATGCTATGCTAAACACACACACACACACACACACACACCATAAGTTCATTCTTCTGTTATCCTTGGTACACACACATAGAAGATTAAATCAGAGTAAGGGCTTAACAAAACGTCTTCAAAGCATTAAGAACAACTTCATTAATCTCACTGAGCTACTCACATAGCTTATGGTTTGCTTAGGTATAAATTTGTGTAACTAATAGAAAAAATGTTTCAACTGCTAGATAAATTTACCCTTCAGGTGATGAATATAAATTAGGAGAAGTATGGGCATCTAAAAGAACTTCCTTCTCTTCTAGGAAACCTGAGTTCTGTTTCCAAGACACAGGTAAGTGTTTCACAGCTGCCTGTGACTTGACTCCAGGGAATTACAGCACCTCTGGCTTTCACCAGCATCTGTACTAAGAGCACACACATGCAGAGTAACATATACTCATACATATAACTAAAAACAATAGAGAAATAAAAGTTTGATCTTTCGATTTCATTAATTAGTCACTCCATGATCTGGGTTCTGTAATAAATAAAACATATCTTCATTGCAAAAAGGAACTATCACTAAAAATTTGGTTAACAGATGCTAAAATGTTAACGCTGCTACTGTATTTGTTGAAATAGCATTTGCTAATGAATTCTCGAGTAATCAAGTTTCTTTTATGAACTGTCTCTAAAACAGCTAATAAACACAACTAGATCTTAGATTGGTAAACTACAGTGGTGAACTTATTCTGGGTTGTGTGGTTTATATGTTTATAGAAACTTAGGTTCAAAATTTTATAAATTTTCAGAATGTGTCCTCTCTTGCTTCTATTGTGGAATCTAGGTGAAATTTTCTACATAGAAAAACTTTTTGCAGTTTCAGTTCCCTGGGGATACCATGCCCCGTTGCCTCTTTGTACTTCTCTATGAGGCTAATTAATAGTGAAATAAAGGGGAATTTAAGTTAACCTTGTATTTGTGGAAAAAAAGATGAAAACCAAACAACTTCCATCTTTTCACCTGAAATCCATATCTTTAGCAGTTATATTGTTTAATTTGTGGCTTCTGTTCTCACAAGCAAAGAAGCTGGGCATGTCTTGCTTACTGTCGTGCTAAGTTGTTGGTGTGGTATGGCATGTGATCATTTTTTTCCTCTGCAAAATGACAGTCAATATTCATGCCTTGCTTTATGGGTTTTTCCAATTGTGATTGATTTATCTAGAGCCTCTTCCATTCCAGGTTTCTTTAAATATCTTCTTCTTCTCTTTCTAGATTGACACAATAATGACTCACTGTGTGCTTTGTTAGGCTCACTGTGTGCTTTGTTATATTTGTTTATATAAATGAATGAATATTATCTTATACACATATGTATACATACATAGATGGTCCTCTGTTGGGTAACAAGCTCCTAACAAACATTGGGTATACAAAATTGAATAAAATACAGTAATTGTGTTTGAAAGCCTTATTTTCTATCATTTGAGAGCAGACATATAAAAAGTCATGTGACTCCTCTGGGCTAAGTGGAACAATTTCAATGAAGTGGGGAGGAAGAAACCACGCCAGGTCCATGTTAAATCTAAGGTCATGTATTTGCTGAGACATAATACAAGTTAAATCGCCAAATGGAAAAGTACTTACCGAGGATGATATTCCACAATCTGAATATGGAGGACATACTCTCTTCCTTAAAAAAGCTGAACAGATATGGGACTCCCTGGGATCAGAGCAGCATGACGTGTTAGATGGGCAGGTCTCCTCTCTGCTACTTGTACTTTGATCTAAGGAGCTGAAGGAAAAAATAAGTTTAAAGTGGTTTTGTGTCTCTTACTGTCTTAAAAATAAATACTGCCATTAAAATAACAATAAGTTATAAGCACAAACATTTAGAGAGGATGTAAATTGTGAGTTTATGATATCTTGTCGTCATCTTAAATGTATATATGTATGTATACGTATATTTGAGGCTGTACCCACTTACAACAAATGTCCCCATCCCCCAAATGAGTGCACCTGCATGAACTGCCTGCCTTTAAAAAACAAAAACAAATACCATATGCCCCAGTTTATAAGATGCCACAGTGTTAAGGTCACGCCATGGATTATCATTCCTCAGGGAGCTACCAAGCTGACTTGCCCTTTCCAGCTTCCTCTCTCTCTCTCTCTCTCTCTCTCTCTCTCTCTCTCTCTCTCTCTCTCTCTCTCTCTCTCTCTCCTCTCTCTCTCTCTCTCACACACACACACACGCACATACAACACACTCTCGCTCTCATGTAACTCCTCACAAATCTGCAAATCTGGGCCAGAAATGTTCCCTGAGATTTACCACTAACACTGATGGCAAACAAATGAAAGTAAATCTCTGTAATCAGCTTCACTCACCCTGAACTGCTGCCCAGTCCCCCACCTGGCTGTCCAGTTTCTTCTGCGTCCTTTCCTATGTTTACACTGAAATATAAAGTACCTTCATGTTTGTAACTGCTTCTCTTCTGTACCAATCCCCTGCTTTATTATTCATTCTTACCCTTTTCTCAACAATTGTTATCAGTTTGTCTTCCTGTATTTGATCAATTACATACCAGTAGTTTTAAGACAAAGTAACATTATTTGTGTTGAGAAGCTGTTTTTTGTTTGTTTGTTTGCTTGCTTACTTGTTTGATTGAGACATTGTTTATCTGTGTAACAGTCCTTGTCTTGTAACTGGCTTTATAGACTGGGCTGGCCTCAAACTGGCAGAGATCTGCCTGCCTCTGCCTCCCAACTGCTGTTCTGGGATTACAGGCATTAAAGGCATGTGCCACCATGCCTGACCTCTGGAAGTAAGTTCCAATAAAGGATTGCCAATACTACACAAATAAATAAAATAAAAATAAATTCAAAGAAGAAGCTGTCCCTCTATTTTGTGGCTCATTTCTCTCCCAGCGGGTTATGTCTCAAACTCTATTACTGTTTTTCCCACATGCATGCTCTCTTAAAAAAGTTTAAAAAGTCAGGAATAAAGCCTTATTCCTCATGCAACTCAACGTGAATGATAAGAGTGGAGAAGTATCCAATACCTCCCATCTCTCTCCTGACCCTTTCCACCCTTCCACTCCTCCATCTTCTGACTTCTCCTTACTATGGGATAGGAGCTAAGAAGACTAGGGCCTGTAGATGACTACGGTGACCATCTTGAGTGTGACATCTCTGTTTTCTGCCCTCACTTTATTCTGTCACTCCTGGGCAGTTCAGAAATAAGCAGTGACCAGAGGTGGTGCCCTAGGACAACATTGTGATAAACTCTTCTGGAACTCTAAAAAACCAAATGTGATATGCAATATGGATTTTTTTCTTCATTCTGCTCTTTGTTTGCTTTGTTTTATTGAAAAATCTCAAGAAAACAGAAAACTCTAAAGTGTCTTCTGGGTCATATAACTCTTCCCACCATGATTGCCCTAATGTACACGATGCTGAAATCAACATTGCAAGCCATGTGAGTCCTCGCCATTTAGGCCGTGGTGACTGCTGTGACCCAGACAAGACACTCAGCATCTATTAGCATCGTTTCTCTATCTGCTCGCCATTCACAAGTTAATGCAGAAGCTTCCTGCCTTAGGTTTTACCATGCTGGCCGTTGCTGTTACTACTGACATAATTATCCTTTTGATTTTTGTGTATTTATTTGTGAGAGTACATGTGTGTGCATTCTGCATGTTTGTATGCATAGGACAGCACGTGTGAAGGTCAGAAGATAAGCTGAGGAAGTCAGGTCGCACTTTTTTCAGTGTGGTTTCTGAGTATGTCATCAGCCTTGTAGACAAGTACCTTTACCTGATGAGCCAACTTGATGGCCCACAATACTAACACAATGTTAGAGTCAGTATTTACTGAGCACTTACTATTTGCTAGGCACTACACGAAAAGTTTTGCATGGATCCACACATTCAACTTTTTTTACATTCCTAATAAAAATGCAACATTTCAATTACGGTTTTGCAGATGAGAAAATTGAAGGCCAGAGAGTGGGGTGGTTTGAATGACCAATGTCCCCCACAAGCCCAGGTATTTAAATGCTCCAGTCCTAGTTGTTGACACTGTTTCTGGGAGTTGTTAGTGTTGCATCCTGGCTGACAAAAGATTATATACTCTCTGATTCCTGCTTGAAAAGGAGCAACTTATCTGTCAGCTTCCAGCTCCAGCAGCCATGCCCACCTGCTGCCCTCCTGCCCCCATGATAGACTCCTCTCCCTCTGGTACATAAGGACAGTAATCTCTTCCTTCTGTAAGTTGCCTTGACCATGGTACTTTATCATAACAACAGAAATGGAACTAATGCAGAGAGAGTACTGTTCCAAAGCCCCCCCACAATGAATGTCCATTAATTAACCACTAGGATTGAAATCAGATGCACGTATTAGATAAGCAATGCACCACTTTAAGGAATTAAAGCTGCCGTTATTATGGTATGCTTGATAAGGAAAATAATTTGTATGGATTTTTCTAATTCTGACTGTTTCACTTGACCATATACAAATTTCTTTGTTATTGAATAGACCTTGCAATTCTGAACAGTTCTCATTCTCTGAAAACAATAGTTAAACTTCCATACATGGAACCTGGATGACATCATCACTCTAGACAGCAGCTTTCTGCCTATAAAACCCCTCCCTCTCTCCCCTCCCTTCCATATAAACCAGACACAAGCAGTTTACATGGTATATTGGTTGGCTCAATTACAATCTTTCCACCAGCATTGAACAAACCCCAGTCATAAATTGCCAATCTCAACCCCTCTAACAGAGGAATTAGTATTATTAATGCTATGGCATAAAGCCGTCCTGGAGAAAGTGCCATGTCTGAAACGCACAGCAGCCATTCGGCTTGATTTCTAGTGTCTTTAAACATAGGCGGCACTGTCTGAACTGGTCATCGCTTCTTGTGTTTTAAGCATGTGGAGTGACCAGCAGGAAGTCATCGGGTGATTTGAGAAGACGGGTGACAAACGACAAGAAGAACTTATCAGTTCCCGAGCACCTGCCATCAGAGGACTCTGGTGTCCTTTACAGCCATGAATTTATAAGCCTCGTAACGTGTTCACAGGAGCTGGAGCTAGCCGTTTAATTAAAATGTCTAGTTGGCAGTTACATAACGGGCAAGGCGATTAGAAGAGGAAAGAGCGGTTAGCCCACGTCTCGGGATGGAGCTGAGCTCCTTGGCTGGAAAAAGTGACACTAGGCCCACACAAAAGCCAGGGCTGCGTCCTCCATGACCCACAGGGTGGACAAAACAGCATTCAGCACATCTCAATTTCTAAAACTGCCGTTTCTATTTGTGGATTTCCCATGAAGGCTTACTATTTAGGGAGGAGAGATGAACGTCCAATTTATTTTTCAGTTAGCAACTAGCACTCTTCCCAAATCTTCAAGCTCCTCCTTCGGTCGATAAAAAATAGATCGAAAAACTGAGAGACTGCACTTGTTTTATTTCCTGTGCTTCAGTCTGAGTTAGATTTTATCGTATTTCCTTTTGCTATGTATGTTAGCTCCTGAGCTGGATTTTAACGTTATGTGAACAACATTTTGCTTCTATTAATTTGCTTGCTCTCATTGCCGCACCTCCATATAAACATCAAGGAGTCCCACGTCTACGTACAATGAAAGCGAGAAAGCAAAGAAGTGCCTCCCGCAGAGATGGGGCCTCTAAGCTGCAGAGGGGGTTAGTGAATCCACCGTTATTTATAAGAGCAAAGGATGTGCTCCAATGCTTGAACCATGGAAGATAGAAATACTGACATCCCTCTCTAGCAGTCGTGTTTAGAAATAGGAGACCTTCCTTGTCCTGGCACTCATGGTTCTGCTTAAGTTTTGACTCTGTCCTTTCTAGAAATTGTTACAATTCTGGAAATGTAACCAGGTTCCTTGCTACTGGAGAGAATAGAAATTGATGGACATGTGATAAAAAAAAAAACAAAACGTAAAACTACCTAATCCCAAATGAAGAGGACTCCCTTAGGAAAGTCAAATTCCAAATGAAGAGGACTCATTCCCTTAGGAAAGTCCTATGAATACAGCGTGCAGACAATGTGACTAGCAAAACACCAAAGCTATGCAAACAGAAGATGGTCCCTCCTCTCCGCCCTCCCTCCTCCCTGCCCTGCCTCCTTCTGCTCTCCCTCCTTCTGCTCTCCTGGCTTGTCCTCCTTTCTTTTCCCTTCCCTTTCTCACTCTTCCCTGCTATCATCTCTTCATCCTTTTCTCTTTTAAATTTTGAGTAATGAAAGATAAGTTGTATGCCACTGCCACTTGCCTTGCAATGCCTTTAAAATGGTTTCACAAATGCAACTGAAAATGACATTGCTGTAAATGCCAGCTTGCATACAGCTCACAAATTTCCTTCCAGTGCAGGTAGAAATGAAGTCCACAACACTGTACAGAATCTCTACTCCACTGAAAAGGACTATCTTGCCTGTCAATTCTCTAAATTCTGGATTTTTGTAATTTAATAAGAAAACATACTCTGACACTGCTTGAGGCACACACAGTTGGCTTCCAGACTCAGAGCATTTTGGCATTTCACCAGTTCCACACCTAAGAACTTTTCTGTGGACTACAGGCAGTGAGTGGAAGCCACAACTAATTCTGTATTTTACGAAGTCATGGTACACTTAATATTGAAGGCAGACAGTGTGAATCTCATGTTTTTAAAGATGGGAGCCAGGTTACACAGCAATATAAATTCAAAAACAAAACACAACAAACAGAATGTAACACATAACAAAAAAAAACTCAAAGAATACTACAATCCTCCAAAAGGCACATTGTTCAATTATTTACAAGATCATGACACTCAGGAGACAGTGACCAGATGCAGAACCAGAAAGGAAGGAGTTGGCTTTCCTGTAACTGATTTATAGTCTCCTATTATCAGTAAAGCGATTTGATTAAATCTACCTAGTTAGTATTAATAGACATTCCCTTTTAGCTGTCCTGTTTATTCCCTTGAAATTCACACCTACTTCTTAAAGAGTATCTGCTGATGTATTTAATGAACAGCAACCCACCTCCCTTTGATTAGACACAAGCTACATTCGCATTTACTGCAAGTGCTGGGCAGTTGACGATGACTGAGTTTGCTTCATTCTGGAAGCAACCTTCCTCAGCCACCAGGCCAGCACTTTGCATCTTTAACTGCAATATAATCTGGTAACAGTATCTGTGCTTGCTGGACTTTAGTGCTCTCTCTCAAGTAAAAAAGGGTACTTTTAATTCTAGTTTCCTACCTTTTGAACATGGCTAGCAGGTGAAAAAAAAGTCCCCCTGGCTTCATAAAAGCTATTTTTTCTGAAGGTAATCTTTCACACCTTTCCAAGGATATGAGAGCTGCCCACCAAGAATCTGCTGCCACTTCAGGGACAGGTGTCTTCTGTGGACTCACCGTGACCAAGGAGACAAGATGTTGCCTAGCAACGTGGCCATCTAAGAGGTCTTGTTACAGCTCTCTGGGAACTTGTCAAAGGAGCTCCTATGTTCCTAGCATAGGTTAACAGTGAACATTGTTCACAGAGTTGTCAAAACTGTCCTGGAACTGGAATCTTCAATACCAAAATTAAAGGGACAGCAGGAGGGGAGCTGAACATCTGCAGTCATACCTTAATGTTTGCTCTCTTCATTAAAGTTACTTTAACTGAAAACACATTTTTTCATACAATATATTTTTCCATATTTTTTATTTAACTTTTTACACATGTCACTTTCAGTTGCCTCTTCCTCCCCTCCTCCCCCACCCCCCCCCAGTCCTCCCAACCCCTCACTCCACTCCATCTCCCCTCCACTCCCCAGGGAGGGCAAGGACCTCCATGAGGGATTTCCAGAGTCTGTCACATCATCTCGGGAAGGGCCCAGGTTCTTCCTCATGTGTCCAGGCTGAGAGAGCATCCCTCCACGTGGCATGGGCTCCCAGAGTCCCTCTGTTTGCCAGGAATAAATACTCTGTACTCTCCCAGGTCCCACAGATTGCCAAGGCCTCCTCTCTGTCACCCAGGTTTGGTGGGAGGGAGTCTGGATCAGTCCTATGCTGGCCCCTCAGTCATCAGTCTGGGGTGCATATGTTCCCCCTTGTTTAGGTCAGCTGCCCCTGTGGGCCTCACCAGCCTGATTCCGATTCCCTTGTTCATCACTCCTCTTTGCAAGTAGGTTCCAGGAGTTCAATTCAGTTCCCAGCTGTGGGTGTCTGCCTCTGCCTCCATCAGCCACTGGATGAGAGTTCTAGGATGGCATATAAGGTAGTCATCACTCTACCCATCATGGGAGGGCATTTAAGGTAGCCTTAATGCCAGTTGGTGTCATTCCTGTAGATCTGTGACTGGGTTACCTCACTCAGGATGGTTTCTTCTAGTGCCATCCATTCACCTGCAAATTTCAAGATTCCATTTTTTTCTGCTGAGTAATACTCCATTGTGTAAATGTACCACATTTTCTCTATCCACTTTTCAGTTGAGGAGCATCTAGGTTCTTTCCAGGTTCTGGCTATTACAAATAATGCTGCTAGGAACATAGTTGAGCAGATGTCCTTATTGTATGGGGGTACATCTTTTGGGTATATGCCTAAGAGTGGAATTGCTGGATCTTGCAGTAGACTGATTTCCATTTTTCTGAGGAATCTCCATACTGATCTCCAAAGTGGTTGCACAAGTTGGCATTCACCAGCAGTGGTGGAGTGTACCCCATTCTTCACATCCTCTCCAGCATAAACTGTCATTAGTGTTTTTGATTTTAGCCATTCTGACAGGAGTGAGATGGTATCTCAGAGTTGTTTTGATTTGCATTTCCCTAATGGCTAAAAATGTTGATCACTTTCTCATGTCTCTTGGCCATTTTGGACTCCTCTATTGAGAATTCTCTATTTAGTTCTGTACCCCATTTTTTAATTGGATCCTTTGGTGTTCTGGAGACTTGCTTCTTGAGTTCTTTGTAAATTTTGGAGATCAGCCCTCTGTCAGATGTGGGGTTTGTGAATATCTTTTCCCATTCTGTGGCCTGTCGTTGTCTTGTTTACTGTGTTCTTTGTCCTGCAGAAGCTCCTCAGTTTCAGGAGGTCCCATTTATTAATTGTCGATCTCAGTGTCTGTGCTACTGGTGTTATGTTCAGGAAGCTGTCTTCTGTACCAATTCATTCAAGGGTACTTCCCACTTTCTCCTCTAAGAGATTCAGTGTGTCTGGATTGATGTTGAGGTCTTTGATCCATTTGGACTTAAGTTTTGTGCATGGTGATAGATATGGGTCTATCTGTTGTCTTTTATATTCCAGCATCCAGTTACTACAGCACCATTTGTTGAAGATGCTTTCTTTTTTCCATTGTATAGTTTTAGCTTCTTTGTCAAAGATCAGGTGTTCAAAGGTGTGTGGGTTGATATCAGGGTCTTTGATTTGATTCAATTGGACTACCTGTCTGCTTTTGTGCCAATACCAAGCTGTTTTCAGGACTATAACTCTATAATAGTGCTTGAAGTCAGGGATGGTGATGCCTCTGGAAGTTCCTTTATTGTGCAGGGTTGCCTTGGTTATCCTGGGTCTTTTGTTTTTCCATATAAAGTTGAGGATTGTCTTTTTGAGGTCGGTGAAAAATTGTGCTGGTGTTTTGATAGGGATTGCATTGAATCTGTAGATTGCTTTTGGTAAAATTGCCATTTTTACTACGTTAATCCAAGATCATGAGAGATCTTTCCATTTTCTGGTATCTTCTTTAATTTCTTTCCTTAAAGACTCAATGTTCTTGTTATACAGGTTTTCACCTGTTTGGTTAGAGTTACCCCAAGATATTTTATGGTGTTTGTGGCTATTGTAAAGGGTGATGTTTCTCTGAATTCTTTCTCATCCCTTTATTGTCTCTATATAGTAGGGCTACTAATTTTTTTTGAGTTAATTTTGTATCCTGACACTTTGCTGAAGGTGTTTATCAGTTGTAGCAGTTTCCTGGCAGAATTTTTTGGTTCACTTACGTAGACTATTATACCATTTGCAAATAGTGAAAGTTTGACTTCTTGTTTCCCAATTCATATTCCCTTGATCTCCTTTTGTTACCTTCTTGCTCTAGCTAGAATTTCAAGTACAATATTGAAGAGATGCGGAGAGAGTGGACATTCCTGTCTTGTTCCTGATTTTAGAGGAATTGCCTTTAGTTTCTCTCCATTTAGTTTGATGCTGGCTGTTGGTTTGCTGTACATTGCTTTTATTATATTTAGGTATGTTCCTGTTATTCCTGATCGCTCCAAGACCTTTATCATGAAGGGGTGCTGGATTTTGTCGAAGGCTTTTTCAGCATCTAGTGACATGATCATTTGGTTTTTCTTTTTCAGCTTGTTTATATGGTGAATTACATTGATGAATGTTCATATGCTTAACCATCCCTGCATCCCTGGGATGAAACCTACTTGATAGTGGTGAATGATTGTTTTGATGTGTTCTTGGATTCGATTTGCCAGTATTTTATTGAGTATTTTTGCATCAATGTTCATGAGGTAGATTGGTCTGTAATTCCCTATCTTGGTTGTGTCTTTGTGTGGTTTGGCTACTAATGTAATTGTAGCCTCCTAAAGAGTTTGGCAGTGATCCTTCTGCTTCTATTGTGTGGAACAATTTGAAGAGTATTGGTATTAGCTCTTCCTTGAATTTTTGGTAGAATTATGCACTGAATCTGTCTGGCCCTAGACTTTTCTTGGTTGGAATACTTTTTATGGCTGCTTCTATTTCTTTAGGGGATATAGATCTGTTTAAATTGTTTATCTGTCCTTGATTTAATTTTGGTAAGTGATATCTATCCAGAAAATCATCCATTTCCTTCAGATTTTCCAATTTAGTGGAGTACAGATTTTCAAAGTATGACCTAATGATTCTTTGGATTTCCCCAGTGTCTGTTGTTACGTCCCCTTTTTCATTTCTGATTTTGTTAATTAGCATATTCTCTCTCTGTCTTTTGGTTATGTTTGATAGAGGATTGTCTATCTTGTTGATTTTCTCAAAGAACCAACTCTTTGTTTCATTGATTCTTTGTATTGTTTTCTTTGTTTCTACTTTATTGATTTCAGCTCTCAGTTTGATTATTTCCTGGCGTCTACTCCTCCTGGGTGAGTTTGCTTCTTTTTATTCTGGAGCTTTCAGGTGTTCTATTAATTCTCCAGTGTGGCTATTCTCCAGTTTCTTCATGTGGGCACTTAGTGCTATGAATTTTCCTCTTAGAACTGCTTTCAAAGTATCCCAAATGTTTGGGTATGTTGTGCCTTCATTTTCATTGAATCCTAGGAAGTCTTTTATTTCTTTTTTTATTTCTTCTTACCCAGGGGTAATGTAATTGAGCATTGTTCAGTTTCCATGAGTTTGTGAAGTTTCTGCAGTCTGTGTTGACGGTGAATTCTAATTTTAAGCCGTGGTGGTCCGAAAAGGTACAGGGGGTTATTCCCAATTTTGTATCTGTTGAGGTTTGCTTTATTGCCAAGTATGTGTTGTCGATTTTAGAGAAGGTTCTGTGTGGTGCTGAGATTCTGTCTTCCATCACTTGTATTCTGTTAGTTATGCTTGTATCTGTAGTTCCTGATTGTTTTTTCAGCCTTTCAATTTCCAGCATTACCTCACTTTGTGTTTTTCTTATTGTCTCCATTTCAGTTTTCAGGTCTTGAACTGTTTGAATTGTTTCCTTCATCTGTTTGATTGTTTTTCCTTGGCTTTCCTTAAGAGATTTGTTGATTTCTTGCATTTTTTGGTTTGTGTTTTCTTCCATTTCTTTAAGGGATTTTCTCATATCCTCTTTGCGGACCTCTATCACTTTCAGGCAGTTGTTTTGAAGGTCATTCTTTTCTGTTTCATCTGTGTTGTTATGTTCAGGTCTTGCTGGTATAGAGTTTCTAGACTCTGGTGGTGTCATAGTGGTTCCTCTGTTGTTAGCTGTGTTTTTATATTGCCTTCTTTCCATCCTTTCTTTCAGTGAGAGCTCATGGGGTCTAAGGATCTTTTCCAGTGCATTCAAGCAGGTCCAATACTTCAATGGGTGCAGGTGGGTCTGAGCACAGGGCGGAGACCAGAAGGTACTTAAGCACCAGGAAGATACTTAAGCATTTATGCACTTAAGCACCAGGAAAGGACCAGAAGACACTCAAGACTGAGGTATGGGGAGATTCAGGGCGATCCTTCGGGGGCGGGGGAGGGTCAGTTCCTCTCTAGGCGCAGAAAATGCCCAGGGAGACAGAGCCAGGAGATGTAGGGAGTTGGGGCTCACAGCAGGGCCTCCACTCACCTTAAGCACCTTAAGAGTCGGGAAAGGACCTGTAGACACTGAAGACTGAGGTGTGGGCAGATTCAGGGTGATCCTTTGGGGGGCAGGTACTCTCTAGGCACAGAAAATGCCCAGAGAAATGAAGCCGGGGGATG